GGAAGAGGGGGGGGGGGGCCCCGTGTTTAAGGCGGGGCAAAGAAAGCCCCTAATTTTCCCCCCCCCAAGGAGGGGCCGGGTGGAAAAGGAAAAGGAAAAGGCCTTTCCCCCCTTTTGGGGGCCCCAAAATACCCCAGGGCCTTTTGGGACCTTTTTTGGGTTTTTATTTCCCCTTTATTTTTGGAAAAACTTTTTTGGGGGAGGGTTAGCCCGGGGCGCCGGGAATCCCCCCCCCAAAGGTTTGGGTTACCATTTAGTAGGGACAAAAAAAGGTACTGGGCAAAAAAAACGAAACGGTTTTTTTTGGGGGGGCACCACCAACACCAACAACAACACCAACAACACCACCAACATCTTAAAATCGGCGCCCTTGGCATTTGGGCGGTTTACCCCAACCGGGGTCCCCCCCCCTATTTGGGTTGTACTTTTTGTTGGCCAGGGCTTGCCTCCCCTGTAGGGGCTATCGATGCGTTGGGGGATTTGGGGTAGTATATTTTTCATGCCTAGGATTTCATGGGTTTTTATTTTTGGGGGTACAGTAGTCCACCCTGCCCCCCCCCCCCCCATCATTTTTTATTGGTTTCGGTTTCTCACTGACAGCAGCTAGGAAAAGCGGTGCTGCGTAAACGAGGACTAATACTATTTAATATGCATACCACAGTTCATTGTGTTCCTATGCACCCCCACGATTGTGTTTTGGCCACTTACACCAGAAGCGCCGTTGTTTTGTTGTTGTGTCCCGTTTTGTGTGCTACAACGTTTCATACGGTACTGTGTACTGTTTTTTGTGTTTTTGTGCAGGGATGGCGGCGTGGTGGTCGCATCTTTTTACCTACCGGTCACACTCACCAGGCGCACTGCCTCCGATACCTCTGGCGAGACGGCGGGCGTCCCCGAGGATAAGGCTGACGGAGACGGCGGTGGCGGGGCTGACTGTGGTGGTTGGGTCGCGGAGTGGGATCACGAGCAGCTCATCGCTATGCAGGTGAGACAATGAGAGAGAACGAGAGGCAGGAAGAGGAGGGAGAGGGAGAAAGACAGGGACACAGAGACAAACAGACTGGCTATAACTGGCTGGGAGAGAATGAGCGGGAGGCACAGCAAGACGGACAGACGGCTGACTGGCTGACTGACTGACTGAGGGAGAAAGAGCGACAAAGAGGGACAGATGAAGAAGAGGGACAGACAGCAGACAGACAGATTGACAGACAGGCAGACAAGACATGGAGAGAGACAGGCAGACGAGAGACAGAAATTCAGATACTCTGTGCATGTTCTTACCTACTGCATCGTGGGCAGGACTCACGTGTTTATCGACTTGTCATCTGTTTTTTATTTTTTTCTCCAGCTGCTTGAAGGATGGCCACGCGGCCGGGTCGTTGGCGGTGATGCATAGCCGCCACTTCCCGTTCTTTCCGTCTGAACTGACTTTTCGTCCACTTTATTTTCAGTGTATATATAACCCAAACCGACAACCAAAATACGAAGCAAAGGCCTATCGAGTACAGGTCTAACCACATGTCTCCTGCTGTGTTGCGTTCCGAGCTTGCAGCGCGCCCGATCCTGCCAGTATCAGCTCTCGTGCCTCCGACTAACGCTGCTGCGACGTTGCATGTTCCTCGTTTCCATCTTGACAATGTCATGATGGATGATGATGATGGTGGTGGTGGTGGTGATGATGATGGTTGCTGGTGTGCTATGGTCAGACCAACCTTCGTGTCGTCCGCGTCGGAACGGTCAAGT